TATGGAACTTGACCTAACTCTCTAAGATGAGGGAGAATTTCTCCTCCCCCAAATCCTAACCTAACTTTTCTGCCATTTTCAAACTACAAATTCTCTCTACTCAGGCAAAAGAAATGAAATGTAAAGATATGTACATGCTCAGGGCTATGAGTAGAACCTTGTTTCTTCACAAACTTAAGACTAAAAATGCATGATAAGAGAGGTACGAGTTCAAAGTTTTACCTGTGCAGCTGAACTTCTATCTGGAGAATGAGGAACTTCTAGTGCAAGGTAATGATTGGAAAAGCTTCCTTGAGGTCCAGGGATGCTGTTTCAATGCTTACTTTGTCTTGAGAGCTTCTGAATCAAGCTATGGAACTTCAACTGCAAAAGGAAAAAAAGAAAATGGTGGAAACTGTTAGGGTGATTACAGGTCAGGTTTTAGGCCATGGTTAGCTTGCATATGTTGTAAGGAAGGTAGAGAAACAGGCTTGGACAAGAATGCTCGAAGGAAATGGAAGTTGGCACTCAAACTGCAGAGGCAACTCTGTTTTTGCAGTTTGAGGATGATTCTGAGATGGAGGGTGTGTGGGAGGTCAAAGGCTCGTGTGTTAGCTTGGATATGTTATGTGTAATGTGTTTGATAACTTCTTTTTTGTGTTCTTAAGCTGAGATGAGATATGGTACAAGTTATGCAATGTTACTTGAAAATGAAGCAAGCAATGGTCACTTTGTGTTTTAGGTCAGTAGGGGCCTCTAATCCTGCTGCATAAGCCTCTCTTGATCAGAGCAATTTGCCCATAATCTTGTGCCAAAAGGATTTTGCTTGTACCTTCTTGATTTGCAATTGGACATAAAGTTAATCTTTTCAAAAATGGAAAGTTCACTTTATCTAGTTTAGGATTAATCCACTATGCAATGTTAGAACACAAAGAACATGGTCTTAACACATTGAATATGCATTAAATTATTGAGTATGGAATGGTTCAAGGACCTGTAATCAAGCATAAAGTAAGCTGAGTTCAAATTTGCAAGATTATGAACATGTCTTGATGAAGAACAAAAGTGAATTTTTGCCAATTTGTGAAATTCGAATCTCTCAAGTTATGAGGTTGTTTGAGAAGTTTTTGGACATTTTGGAAAGCTTGGAATGTGTACTACAATCCATCTTCGAAATGCAAATCAAAATTCCAAGTGGAAGGGTATGAAAAGTGGCCTTGAAGTGGGGTAGAAAACCTTGTCAAAATAGGTTAAAATTTCACTAAGTTAAAAATGGTTTAGTGCCCTTATTCAAAAAATTGTAACTTGAGATACAAGCTTCAAATGAGAAAATTTTGTGATTCAAAGTTGTAGATTATGCAACAAGGTACAACTTTCATGTTTTGACTTTTGTTTGAATCCAAATGGATCTTGGTGAAAAGATGGGGCAAAGTTGGGAAAAAATTAGGGTTTTTCATAACTTAGAAAAATTCTAAGTTATGAAAAATTCCATTTTTAAACCCTAATTTGCATTTTGTGATTTCTTGGTGAACAAGTTTCATGATTTGGCATGTTTTGATGAAAAATGAATCTTGACTCTTGATTTTGACCAAAAAGTCAAAGTTTGACTTTTCAGTATACAGTCAAAATTGATCAATTGACTGGGAAATTCAACTGTCAATCTTGTGTACTTGGGATCTTTTGAACTTGTTGAACATGTAAAGACAATTTCATTGAGTCCTTTAGGCTATATGTGAGCTTGGTTTGCCATTGGCTAGGTCAAATAGTCAAAAATGGCCTTTGTGCAGTCAAAACCCTAAAAATGACCATTTTGCCCTTTTGGTGATCTGATCAAATTTCTTGGAGAATTGTGATCCAAACTTGATCAAATGGTCCATATGGGTTCATAATGTTGATGTGGATCAAATTTCATGAGGTTTGACTGTCAATTGGCCACAGTTGACTTTTTTTCAATACAACTGACTTCTAGGTCAATTGTCCAATTGACTGGGTAAAACTTGGAATCAAGACTTGAAACTTGGCATGGGTAAACTTGGGAGTCCAACATGAAGCATGAAAGTCATCTTAGGTATTTCAGGTCAAAACATCCTTGGGCAATCACAAACCCTAATTTGAGTCCACAGTGCAAGGAGAAGTCTTGAGCAGAGGAAACCCTAACTGGATCTTGATCTTCAAGGGTCTTGTGATGAGAAAATGTTGAGGAAATGGGAGGGAAAATTTTGGGGTACAACAGACCTGTCCTATCAAAAGTAACCGGGTTCTAGAGGATCTCAATATCACTGACTACCCTCAGTCGGTCATAACTCCAGCATCGCAATCTTTTCTTGCGGCCAAAACCATCGCAAGAGTTTAGCCTCAATGAGTGTAGCATACTGCTACCGTTCTATGGCCAAGTTGGGTCAATTTAGGGTTCTAAGGTCGGTTGGTGCTTAAAGACTCCTTAGAAAACCCATATACTCCTCGTTGCAATACAAGGGATATCGGTACAGACCAAGATGTCACACCAACGTAGTCACTGCTTCACCCATGTCGGTCTACGCCGGACAGGTCCCTCACAGCTTATGCTACCTAAAGGGTATTCCCTAGATTCGGGTTAGGATCTATGAAACTCCGATGCAAAGCCCACAAATATAAAAGCAAACAAAGCAAGCAATTGAAAACAAGAGTGGTCTAATCCTAAGGTAACCCCACTTTTAAGTTATATCCCCAGCAGAGTCGCCAGTTCTTTGATACGGTGGGAGAACTGACTTGAGGTTTTGCGTTTTTATTCGCACTTGTTCGGTTTAGCAAGAGTCGCCACCGACTTTTTGTTTTATCCTAAAGGAAAGGTTAAAAAGCACAGGAAAAATCTTTTGAGATGTTTCGTGGGTTCGGGGGGTAGATTATGAAAAGGGAAGGTATTAGCACTATTTTCATCCATGGTTATCCATGGGCTCTTAGTTACTTGTTTTAGATCACTTGCCTTGATTTTCAATTGCTTGAAATTGTGGTGTGTGTGTGTGTTTTGAAAATGTTTTGAAAAAGAGGCCTTGTCTAAGCAACCATTGTAATGACTCGTGTTTGAGTATATACAAAGGTGTGTATCTTTTCGAAAAGATGTTTCAAATGTTTTTTGAAATTTTGTTTTGAAAGTGTTTGTGGAGTGTGGTTTTAAAAAGTAGGCAAGTGTGTTTTGCAAGTTTGATCAAGTAACTAAGAGTTTGTCTACCCTATTGTACTCAAAGATTTTTCCTATGTTTTAACCCTTTTAACAATTTTGTTCCACCATTGTATTTGGTGGACAATCTTGCGTTAGGATGTTAACGGGACAGGCGCGGGTCATCGTATGGACCATGAATGCAATGGTGCCAAGTGTCTTTGGCAATTTTGCTTGAAGGGACTATGATCATTCCGTTTAGGCAACTTTCGAAAGCGTCATCGAGGGACTATGATCATTTGATTCGTTTTGTTTTGCCAAAGATACTCAACGTGCAAGCATGGCCCATTTTGGAAGGCAACAAGCGGGATTACCCTAGGGGTGCAAGTGTGAATAGTGTATTGATTTCATGTATTTGTCTTGTATTAGGTTATCTAGCGTTTGATTTTATTTACATACAAACCCTAGGTCTAACCATGGTATATTTGAAAGCGATAAATTGCGGGAATTTAAAGTCTACGCTATTACAAATAAGTATCCGGGAATGGGGGTACAAATATTTACAAATGAGGATGAGACTTAATAGGAGAGTAGTGTCCAAATAATTTACAACCAAATCGAATTGCGATCTCAAATGTAATATGTATCAATGTATAGGAATAAAAGATAAGCAAACGTGTATTGTATTTGTGTAAGTGCATGTAATCATTTACAAATGAGAAAAATGTATTTATTAAGCATGTATTTATTCTTTTTTGGATTTTTTGTATCTTTGTTAATATGTACAAAACAAAATATTTTAAGAAAAGAAAAGGAAATGTTTTAAGTTTAATTATATTTTTAGGTATTTTGTTAATGTTTTATATACAAAAAGGTTTTAAAGAAAAAAAAAGTGTTTTAAGTTTAATTATCCTATTGTCTAAGTATTTAATTAACGTACAAAGGTTTACTAAACAAAAAAAACTAAACAAGAGAGAAGATTATTTAAGTTAGAAAAAATCTTATTTTTATGTATTCTTAAATATGATAAAAAAGGTATTAATAGACATTTTACAAAAAGAAGAATTTTTTATGTATCATTTTTTTATTTAAATAAAAATGTTAGTATAGGCTAGTTTGAAATAAAAATGGCTTAATAAATGAAATGGGCTTAGTGGATTTGTTTAGCCCAAACAAAAAAAAGGGCAGAATAAAAGAAAATAAAGGGGGTGCGTTTGGAAAACGAATGGGCTTAGGCGTTTGAAGGGGCGAACCGACCCAACGCAATTGACACAAATGTTTTAGGGTTGCATTTGTTTGTTTCAGAAACAAGGCTTAGGGTTACAGCGCGGCGCCGTTCATCCTCCCCACTCGTCCTCTTCACTTCTCACGCCGTAACCACAGAGTGCTTCTTACCGTCTATGGCCACCAAACGCTGTCGTCTACTCCTCTTCCCTCCATTGTTGAGCGTAACAGCGACAAGCATAGGTAAGAAATTTCCCATTTACGTCTCTTGCTTTAGTTCCTGCATGCTCTGATTATTATTTTTGTTATTTGTGTCGTGAGGTGTTTTAAAGAAAGGAGAGAATTTTATACCTTTTGGAGACGGAGGCTTTTGGAGATGGAGGAGGAGCGGATCGGAGGTGCTTCAGGTGGCCGGAGACGGAGGGAGCGGTGAAGCTGCCTTTTGTTGGAAAATCTGGTATCTTTATTTCGCTTCTTAGGGTTTTATGATGATAATCTGAGAACCCTTGCTCAACTCTCTTTTTCTCTTCTGTCTATGTGAACCCTTGCCCCTGTATGCTTGTATGATGGCCCTGATATGCTGTTGAATGTTGCTTTTGTTTTGTATGCTCTGAGATGATGATGTTTGCTCTGAGTCCCTGTTTTTGTTGGTTACTCGATGATGAACTCTTTGAGTTCTGAGAGCTTGGGATTCAGTTTGAGGCTTGGCTTATGCTGTTAGTTCAGGCTTGTGGTTTAGGCTTGGACAGGTTAAGCTTGATGGCTTTGAGGCTTGGGCTTCAGTTTGAGGCTTGGCTTCTGCAACATTTGCTTTTTGTGTGTTTATTGCTGGCTTATGGTACTGGTTTGGTTGTTTGTTGATACAGTTTGTATGTTTAAGACTATGGCTTCATGTTTGGTTCAAGGCTTATGCAGGTTGGGTTTGAAGCAGGTTTATGTTACAGTAGGCTTTAGGCTTGACAGGTTGAAAGGCTTGGACAGGTTGTTTGGTATGGCTTTGATGCAGGTTAGACTTGAATATTTTAGGACAGGTGAAGGCTTTGAATGATTACAGGCTTGTATGTAAACTTGTTTGTAATCTGGTTCAGATTTGAGGCAGGTTCATGGCTTTTTGTTTGTTTAAGCTTAACACAGGTAAGGCTTGCTGTTTGTTTGAAGCAGTGTGGAGGCAGCTTTGAGACTTGCTTCAGTTTTTGTGTTACAGTATGAGGCAGGACTGTATGTTTTGTTGATATAGTTTTTGGTATTTTCTTTGTGATTTTTTCTGCCTCCTCTACTGTTCTATATCAGTTTTGTCTTATATCCTTCTAAGCCTAAGCCCCGTAAGCCTTTCTTCCTTTTCTCCTCTTCTCTCTCTACAGTTTTAAAAGCATAAAATATTGCTTAGAACTGTACTATGCTGAAAAAGCAACTGGCCTAGGAAAATGATGTGATTTGAAGTGTTTGCTTGCACACTAGTTTTCCTCTGCATACTTTGTACTTCTTGATATCTTTCTATATCTTTTGGACAGCTTTTGGATAGCCTTTTTGGTGGCTCTTGTACCTTTGACAGTTTGGATAGTTTTGCTGTCCAGTTTGGACTTTGGTTAGGCATGTGTTGCAATTCTGGACAGTTTAGTTTGCTATTCAGTTTGCCTTTTATCCTTGGTTTGGAATTTTGGATTTATGCAGTATGTTTGACAAACTTTGGATTTGTGCAATATTACAACTTTGTGCATTTCATACTTTAATTGCAAGCACTATTTCTATCCCTCTTTATGAACCAAGAGAAATCTTGTGATTTGCAGAGAGGGCAAACTGATTTCGGTCAGTCGCTTTTAATGATGAGTCCATTTTTTCTGTCTGCTTTGAATTTCATTTCATCTGCTTTTGACTTTTTCTTTTTCTTTGTTTTGCAGATAAAAATCAATGGAGCAAAAGAGGAGTAGCAGTAGAAGAATGAAGATTTAGGAAATTTAGGATTCAATTTTATTTCAATTTTAATCATTGTAACCATTATTATTATAAATACTTGTAAATAGTTACTGTATTTAAATAACAATTGTACAAATAATTAAAATGAATAAAAGTCTTTTTATTGATGTTCCTTTTAATTCTTCTTCAATTATTTATTTAATTATTCATATTTTCTTAAATTATAATAACTGGAATTTATCCCAACTATTCTAATTTAGAACAAATAAATAATCAATAAACAACTGGCGTTCCGAATAATCAAAGCATTGCACAGCTAAACAACAAATGTCCACATGTCCTTTTTTCACTGATTAAATCCAAACACTGCAAATTCTCAATCAACCGCCTCAGTCCATATCTCAGAGTAATGAAAAGAACTGTAGAATTAATTCTTTCTGAGAATGCGCGCACAAAACCCCAGTTCTTGGTTAAATGTCAAAGAAACGTCCGCCTGATCAAAACCTGAGCCAAAATCAACAAAACCCTAATAATTTGTTTGAACTGTATCAAAAGTCCGTGAAAACCCTAATTTGGCTAGACTGACAAGAAAAATTCTGTTTGACTGATTCTTGACAAATCTTGGAGAATATGGGAGGGCAAATTTTGGGGTACAACAAAGGGTATTATAGCATACCCTTGCAACTAACTTAGGAAAGGAAAATGCTAAACCTTATGCATACTACTTATATTAGTGTATTCGTCAGCATGTCAAACACATGATGCATCAGCAACTGTGTAAAGTGTACTTCAGAGTTTGACAGGTAATCACCTTATTGAGCAGGTAATACATAGTTTTTTTTAGATTAGTAGTTTTCCTTTGAGATCTTCTTAATTGTTTTTGTAATTCTTCTACTTTTTGCCTTGCAGGAATTAAGAAAGTTCGGCATTGTGCATCAAATTGAGAATGTTGGTTCACACTTTAAGGAAGTTGTCATGTTTATGTGGCCCTTTGAACTGAACAAGCCAGCAGATGGATTGAAAAACCGATTCAAGGATGGTGGAGATTCTGGCGACTGTGAGGATCTCATCAACGAACTCATCAATAAAATGAATTAATGCAGGTCAATGTACTATCAAAGTATTGATGGTTTGTGTTTTCTCTCGCATGAGCTTTGAAAGTTTGTCACTGAAAACATATTATTGTTAGCCCCTGGTAAAGCCGAAGTGAAATACTATTAGTATCTTTGTGCCTCCATTTTTTGTTTTCTTTTCATTTTTGTTCTTCTAACAATGAGCAGAGGGAGAAAAGGATTGGTTGAAAGTATTTGATGGACTTGAAACCATGATTTAGTTGCTGCCTCTTTTGTCTAAAACTATGTTTAGATCCTGAAACAAAGTTACCATTTGATTGTCACACTTGTCGCTCGTGCAGGAGCATTCACAATCCCCAATTTTCTCCATGCCCGTCAACGGTAGAAAAATACTTTTTTTTGTAAAGATTTACGCTTACTCTTTCTGGTTTTGCTGTATAAAACCTGCCAAAATTACATGTCAGATTCAAAATACATATAGGCCTTGTAAACACCCCAAGAGCAACACATAAATTACTATCATGCAAGTTAGCCTTGATTCCAACTATTTATATGTCTACCACATAACCGATTCACTTCTTAAAAATTTATTTGAGACTACTTGATTTAACTTTTGACTTACTAACATTATATGTTTATCCAACTATTTAGGCATGTCTAAAATTAACTTATTAAAATTCAAAAAGTAAATACAGCAGATAAAATTATATTATTTTCGAAGCCAAAGAATTACCTGCACATGATAGTAATTTATGTGTTACTCTTGGGATGTTTACATGGCCTATATGTATTTTGAATCTGACATATATAAACTGTAAGGTCTTCTAACAGCCTACCGGGATTTCCCATGTCAATGTATAGCACACTTACATTATCTTGATCAACTTCTTTGATAATATCATCAAGAAAAACATCAGTCATATTATGTTCTGCACAAGCTTGTTGAAGTTCATCAACAATAATATAACCACTTCCGTCCTTGTCAAAATATCGGAATGCTGCAACAAGAATCTCCTCACGCTCAAGTTTGTTGAGATGAACTGTTGCAGCAATAAACTCCCCATTTTATCTATAGTTCCACTGTTGTCAACAGCAGCCGCTCAAACATTTCAGCTGAACAGAAGACAATCGGAATTTATTTAACATGAAAGAAAAGTTGAGTCTTTGTAAAGGATGACTGATTAGTCCCTGGTTTCTATATCACATTTTAGACACTGTTCACTACCAATGTCAACTCTACTGTCAAACTGACAAGTTACCAGCAAACACAACTGATCAATTCAACCCATCTTAGGAATGCAACAAGCATAACTACTTATGTATGTATCAGGACACAAGACCTGTCATTTTCTTCATTACCAAATACTCTATATCCCAATCCTAAGATGCAAGGTATCAAAAGAGAAAAATTATTATGGACTCATAATTGTAGCTTATCTGATAAAAATGCACAAACCAAAGCTTTGATTCATACATTTGTAATTTATCAGTAAAATCTATAAAATTCAACACGTGATATCTTACCACCATCAGTAATTGTAATTTATCAGTAAAATCTAAAAAATTCAACACGTGATATCTTACCACCATCAGTAATCATCAAACACGCCCTTTATTTGTATGTCCAGTTAGATTAGCCTATTCAGACGTTGCACAGCATCATGAGCATAAACCGATCATACAAGACTTAAACCATCCTTTTTAATATAAAAAAACGACTAAGCTATGAACCACCGAATTATGTACTCAATGTGTCATCATTAAATGAAGAAAAATCATGCTGCAGAGTGAATGACGAAAAATACCAAAGAAACACAGTAAACATATAACAAAATTAAATATTATTTCCAGAAAGAATACAGAAAAAATATATATCTTTAACAGAACTAAGTCACTATCAACCCACCGCTTCAATAAGATCACGTATTTCGGTATATCCTTAAGGGTAGACCCGTATCTTCTTAGACCAGCTTTGAATTCATCAAAAAAGTGATTGCACCACTGGCACTGCTATCAGTATCCATATCCTGGAACATTTCTCTCAAACCAGCAACTTCCTCCTCGGATAGAAAATACCATAACAAGCAACCATGTCAAACAACTATAACTAAAGTTACTTGGTTTGAATCACACAAAAAACAATCTCACTTCATGTGTTATTAGTTTGGAAATAAATATGAATACAATTGAGTGTATACAATAAGGTTACTAAATTTGGCAATCAAGAAGTGCATGATAGTATATTGCCACAGCGGCACTTGATAGATTATTATATATGAAAATGCAATATCTTTTTCATAAAAATGTATGATCCGCATTCATACATAAACTAATATTCATGCATTCATTAGCTTTACTAATTACCCGTAAAGCCATCTTCTTTAGCTTATTCATTGCTGAAAACTGTTTGAGATGAGAAAGAACAGCAGGATCCAATGCTCTGTCAGGGGCAACACCATTTTCACATATCCAAGGATGACCTGAACAAGCACAACAAGTAATGTCTTTTGATCTACAAAATAGATAAAATTACATATAATAATGCAGACAATCATACTGAAGACTAGTTTGGAAGTTTGAGCAGTACCCGTACTCTAGTACTCATAGTCACTATTATTCATACCTATAATAACATTCGCTGACTAGTCATGGTGACTAATCCAAAAGGAAAAAAAAAACATCTGTTCTAGGGATTATCCTCGTTTATATAGCAAGTGTAATAGAAAAATGGATGGACATAAACAAAACTTCATGCCAAGAACACAACATCTTTCTAATAAGATCTTTTCCACTATCAGATATTAGAGAGCCATGGATCTGATTCAAAATCTATGTGTTCCTTCAATACTCTCTGAGCACCAAAACAAGAAAACTTTCAGTTAATGCCACAGATGCATGACAAAAGATCAAAAGAGCGTTAGCAGTGCCCAAAATGGTGGCACACCACTGAGCAATATATAAAATATGACACCCTCTGTCCTCACATCTGCGCTTGTGGAGAACCTCAGGAGCAACATAGTATGGCTGCCAACTACATCAGTGAAAACTTGACCTGAGGCAGCAAGAATTCAATGAAGATAACTTGACCTGTGGCAGCAGGAATTCAATGAAGATAACTTGACCTGTGGCAGCAGGAATTCAATGAAGATAACTTGACCTGAGGCAGCAAGAACTCGATGAAGATAACTTGACCCGAGGCAGCAAGAATTCAATGAAGATAACTTGACCTGTGGCAGCAGGAATTCAATGAAGATAACTTGACCTGTGGCAGCAGGAATTCAATGAAGATAACTTGACCTGAGGCAGCAAGAACTCGATGAAGATAACTTGACCTGAGGCAGCAAGAATTCAATGAAGATAACTTGACCCGAGGCAGCAAGAATTCAATGAAGATAAAAGCGCATGGAATGTTACATTCTATTCTTCGACACAAAATAAGCTTACCGTTCACCACACAATTTTTAGGGGATCCATATTTGCATTATGAAAAGCTATTGGAAATTTTGTGCTATTTGAGGGGGCAATATTAATTGACTTACCAACCAAAAATTTTCCATTTCCAAGAATGAGCTTGTCAATGAATATGGTAGTTGAAGCAACACTAAACAGTCAAACTGCTACACTTGAAACACTTCTGAGTTTACTGCAGATTGCACTGTCAGTATTCCCTTTCCGTGACATGAAAGGAACCAATGACAACGGGATCTTGTAGAAATTCTAATGCGATTAAAATCCCAACTGATATTGTGATGATGCCAACTCCATCAAGAATTGCATCATCAAATGCAACTAAAATATCCTTGTGATTGCAATTACCGTCTTTTCCGCATAGTTTATATACAACAATTCTTGAAACCAAGACCTAATCGATCATTGAAAATAAATCAATTTAACAAATTAATACATTCACTTGTATAAATCAATTTTCTCTGACTTTAAACGCCCCCCCGCTAGTGGACGGTAGAATTAGTCCTCTTGGATTAGTCGGTTGTAAGGCCAGATGCCGAGATTTCAAAAACTATATATATATATATATATATATATATATATATATATATATATATATATATATATATATATATATATATATATATATATATATATATATATATATATATATATATTTTGTCAATCTTCTAATCATAATACATTTTCTTCCTTCAATATAAACAATAATATTTCTTGATGTCCTAAGATACTAACGACCAACACCATTTATAAATATGGATGTAACTGCACTTTATGTCACAGCATATAAAGTAAAGACACTATTGGCATCATTTTCTTACACAACAGAATATCATGATGAATCCTCAGATGTATATTTTATAAGCGGTTGCATCATTTTGAAGTTGAAGTCGCCATTATATTGTTAAAGCTCATCCTCCTGATAGAGTAGTTTTTGCAACACTTTTTTCTTGTTACAACCCCAATGACATCTCTCAGAGCATAGGGAGTTGAATAGAGCAAGCCTTGTGGATTGAAGAGATATCATGCTAGAAGTTGAAGGAGCTTTTGAGAGAACAATTGCATAACCGTCGTCCATGTAATCCGTTCCATCGGGAAAGAACTGCCACAAAAGGCTTCCAGCACCACTCCCTCCTTTCTTAGTAGAATTTAGAATTGTCTTGTAAACTGTATTTATAAGTGTATCTCTATATGTTGAATTATAACCTGGATCTTTTGCAGATACACCAAACTCACCAAAAACAACTGGCATTCCAAGATACTTTTCAGCATCCTCTATGTGGGATTCCATCCATGACTTAACAAATGGGATATGGCTATCACCAACTGATTGTGAAATCCTTCGATCAGGTCACATACATTCTTAGTTAGTTAGAAAAATGTGATGAAATGGTTGATATAAGTTATGTTCTATGATGATAACTTACCAAGAGTCTGGATATATGTGAACAGAAGCGAAATCGACACCTAGAACCTGGTGGTTTCTTATAAAATCAGTTCCAACTTGTTGAGCAAATGTATTTGGGTTGAACTGTAATCTTTGAGGTGTTGAGGGTCCATAAAATCCTTCTAGGCCAATCTCCACTAAGTGTTTTGGATCAACACTTTTCACATAGAATGCCATCTCTTGTATCCATTCCTAGAGAATATATAATTCAACCATGTACCGAAAATTAATATCATGGAAAAAGAAACTGATTAGTTGAATTGAATGTAGTGCTAGTTTGAAAGAGTTCAATCTAACTAACTCTCTTGGTTATGTTTGAAATCTTCAAACTGAAAACCAAACACACATGATATTGTAAATTGCTTTTAATACGACATAACTTTGTCTCTGTTTTTATAAAAAGCATATACCTGTAACTTATCACCGGAGGAATCAGAGGTGCATCGAGGTTCATTCATTAATTCCCAAGAAAAAATAGTTGGATCTTCCTTATAAGTGATATTTGTGAATGTGTTAACTCTATTGAGCACTGTCTACACAATGAGAAATAGTATAGGAGTCAAGTAAGTATAAAGGATTAATGTTTAGATAGTTGAGAATTTGCAGCACATGACAATTAGGAACTTACCTTAACATGGTCTTTGTAGTAGCCTATGAGAGTTGGATGTGAAAAAAAGTCATCATCAGAGGTCAAGTTAAGGCCAGCAGCATTACCCCATTTGACATATTGTGCTTTTCCACCATATGATTCCCAATTGTTAACCAACGATAATATGAGCCGGATTCTGTATTTCTTTGCTTCGCTCACTACAAAATCCAGAGCCTTGAACACCTCTTCATCATAAAGTGATGGAGATTTCTGAAGGGCTCTCCACTGACCATCATTGAAAGCCCAAGTCCTACAAACTGACATACCAACTGAGGATGCATGTTTGAACACATCAGTGACCTTTCCTCGTGTGGACTCATCGGCGGCAAATACCATCATCCAGTATGTGTTGAATCCGTTTACGTAAAAGGGTTGCCCGTTCACTACAAACTGGTTTCCTTTCTTTTGCACCATCTGCCATTCAGCGTCCTCCATTTCACTCCTTAAACCAAAAATCATATAACATTTAATTAAGTGCCTTAAGTTAATTAGAATTAAGAGGCAGAGAGAATAACAAGACATACCCATAAGTTAAGATGGTGTTTGGTATATTAAGATAGCTTTCCCAATCTTCATATTCAGTGTCATCAAGTGCAGTTAAGCTTAAGGTTTGAGTAAGAGTAGTAAGAAAAATGAGAAAGGAAATAACACATAATGGGAAGAATCCGTTGAGTGGTTCCATGTTACCCGGGCAGTGTGTAAGCATGTATTTGTGATAAAGAACAGAAGATCAGTAGTGTGTAAGCATGTACTGGACCACATTGTGATTATATATATTAGTGATCAAGAACAGAAGAGTAGTGTGTAAGTTGAGAGCAAGTATAAGTCAAACTTTGAAGCGAAGAAAAGAATAGATATGATATGCATTCTGTTGTGTTCAAAGGATATATATGAAATGAAAACAAGAGTAGGAGTAAAGCAGCAAATTTGTGAGTCCTAGTTCCTAAGGTTCAAGTGGGTTCCACAAACAAGCCAAAAAGAGCATGGGAATGGATAAAACACAATAGAAACAAGCCAAAAAGAGCATGGGAATGGATAAAACACAATACAAGAGGATTTTGATTACACACTACATTACACAAACTCATACAATTATTATCGAGAGAAACTATATCACATCTAAGACCATTTACAATGGTTGAAAAACTCAACACCCACTTTTTCAATTTCCAACACTCCACATCATTTTCTTTTTCTTCCACCTAATAACTCAACACTCATTCAACTTTTATCCTCTCCAATGGTTTTTCACTCAACACCCTACCCCACCACTTTTTATTTTCATATTCTTATTTAAATTTTATTTTTATTTTTATGATTACATAAAATTACAATTATCGATTAAAATTAAATTAAAATAATAAATACTTAATAATTTATTTTTTAATTTTTTGTTGGGATTTTGGTTAAATGGAAAATTAGCAGAATTTTGAGTGTTAAAATGATTATTGGGATCCATTTCACTAAAAAAAGACACTTAACTTCAAAATAAACACTAATAATAAAATTAAGATAGTGAAAAACTTAGTTTTTTTTCTGTGTCCAAATCAAATGAACCAAGTCTCTATTTATAGAGAAAAAAAATCATGAATTTTGGTAAAAAAAAAAAAAAAAAAATTAATTTGCAACGAAATAATTGAGTTCAAAGTATTAAATGGATAAAAATCTGGTCAGCCAATCAAGCACAGCCACGTGGTCAGCTTCAATTGTGTTGAGTTTTCTCAACACCTCTCTCTTCCAACACACACTCAACACTTCTCTCAACACCCATTGGAGGAGATTTTGCATGTTGAGTTCAAACTCAACATACCCATTGCACATGGTCTAATCTAAACATTTTGATATCATTTTTATGCGATAAAAAAAAAAGTGTAAAATGTGGAATAATTATTAAAAAACATTTGGAGGTATTCTTGTATTATGGGATTACTAAATAGAAATATCTAAGCCCAAAGTACTTCTTAGACCCATCATCATTCACTAAATTCTTTCAACCAAAAAAAAAAAACTCAGAATGCAGTCTCTTTCAGTTTGCCCTGAAAACAAGTTGGAGCCGCTGAAACACTCTCCTGCCCTGAAAACAAGTTGGAGCCGCTGAAACACTCTCCTTCCCGGAAATCGTCGCCGGAGTTTCTCCTCCACCGCCACCACAAATTCGTCCAGGTTTTTCCTCTAATGTTTACTTGTTTCTTCTTTTTCGGATTTTCCTTGTATGCGTAAATTTTGTTGAATCAAGTTTCGTTTGGAATTTATAAAACGGAATTGAATTGATCTGCAATTTTATTAAATTTTCAAAATGAAGTTTTGTTGAATCATGATTTAGTGATTTATAGTTTGCCTAGGTTTGCAATTTTGTTGTATTTCCAAACTAATGCCTATGATATTATGGTTTCAGACATTACAATAAACAGGATAGGAGACTTCTGTATATTGTATTATTACTTGATTTTTTTTCAAGACTTGTCATATTTCCTGTTTGATTGCTTAAATTCGATTAACTAAATAAATCAATTTGTTCGGTATAATATTGTCTTCTATTTTCATATTTTCTAACTGCAATAAGTGGAGCATCATGCAAAAGTGGTTTATTTCTTTTTCCTATAAGGACTATTTAAATGTATACATCTTTTTGATTTTTATGCTAAGCTTATTGTTTTAGTTAGAATCTAATATATATAAAATTACTTTCATAGAGTTTAAATGTCAACAAACGACACGGTGTCTGCACTCTGCACTTTAAAAACCCTGCCGTAGTTAGTTGCTGATTTTTGAATTCGTCCTGCAGAGAGTTTTTGCTTGGTTTAAGATTTAGGTGTCATTTGGAGTGCTGAGTTGGTCTTTTTAAGCTTCTGTCTATTCTTCTTCTTGTTTTGAGTGGCTTGGAGATCTGTGGTACTGTTTGGATACTTGCTTCATGGTTGGTTTGGTGGCAGCCTGCTTTTCTTATATTTTTCTCTTTAGCATCAGTTTTTCTGGCGTGATGCGAAGACAGGGATGAAGCAGTTGCATTTGAAGCTGGAAGTTGGTTTTGAAGAGTCTTTTTTCCTTGCTACGGCTAAGCTTTTGTTTAGTTTAGTTTTGGGTGTTGTTTTTTGCTGTTTTTGTTGTAAAGTTTATTTCAACTAGACCAGTTCCAAAGGGCTGATTGGTGGTGGTAGGACTGTCTCAAAGCGGGTGTATGATGTATAAGGAAGCGTGTATGATGTATAAGGAAAGCTGAGTTGTTAACATTATTATTAGCTAGATGCAAGATGATTAGTTAGATTAGATTGTCTGTTACTGTAATTTCTGATTTTCACTTTATTAGGTTTAATAATCAAATCATGATTTTTATTCTTCTTCTCAGCTGAAAAGTATATTGTAGCTAGCTGTCCACGAGAGAAATGAGATTCGGAGGAGCTCTCAGGAACATTTTACGCCCTCTCTCACTCTCCTCCTCAACGCCGCCTCTAACTTCACAAATCTCCACTACATTGCCATTTTGTGCACCTTTCCCATCTTACAGCAAACCACCCCAATTCCTTCTTCCCTTTTTGAACCACTTTCACAGCTTAACAGACACTCGTTTTCCCAAGAGACGACCTTCTGATAAGCCTCGTCGAAAGCGGGCTAGCTTGAGACCTTCTGGTATGTGCCTTGTTTTTTTTACTTATGCTCTCATTTTTTTGAATTTTGTCTAACACTATTTAGTTTCTGATATTGTTCAGGGCCTTATGCTTGGATTGAACACACAACTGGTGAAACCATACTTCCCAATAAGCCTAATGAGGGGAGTGTCAAGAGGAGGAATGAGAAGAAACGCATGAGGCAGCGCCGTGCCTTTATACTCGTACGCTCTACCTTTACTTATTATACAATCACAATGAATCTTGTGCTGTTTTTGAATACTGGGTGTCTTTTCTGTTTATGGTTAAACAAAATACTTATTTAATGCCTTATACTATGAGCTGCAAACTAAGGTTTTTTTTATTGTCAGCAAATGAAACAATCACTCATTCCAGTTTCCATAATCAGTTCAAAACATGAAGAAAATGTCAAACATTTAGTATTCTCACCTATCATTAGTATTATTCCAATTTCAATTTTCAAATACTTTAGTCCATACAGTTGCCCATGGTATGGGCATGATAACTTGTTAAATATGAAAATTAATCATTTTGAATTTAGAATCAGAATAGAATACTCCTATGGAAGCATAATCCGTGTCTCAGGTTCAGCCGAACTGACTTTTCCAAATGATTTAGTTATAAAACAAGCTCATCGCCAAAGTATGACCTTGTGACTAGAAAATAAGCAATGCGCTTGTGCGTCTTGTTAATTATAATATTCATATTTAAAACAATGCTTCCAAGCACTGGCATGTATTAAGCAATTCGTTCATTTGACTTTAAAATCTACATATAATAACTTCCATATATTTCTGACAAGATAATACTTATTCTGTTTATTGTTAAAAAATAGGAAATTTGACAGGAGAGGAGATTGCCTTCTACTTGTTGATTGCATGAGAAATGCATTACAGTTTCAAAATGAATAGTACTAACTCGACTTAATTACTTGTTATGTTATGAGTTTTATGTTGTTTTTTGTTCAAGAAGACCCTTTGATTAGCTAAAGTATTGCATGTTTGAGTCCTAATGAATATAAGAAAATATGTTTGAACTTAAAAATTTCTGAATATTCTCCACTAGGAAACATATCAACTTTCAAGGAGTATAAATGATAACATGCATGAGTTTGATACAAAGGTGTTGTCTGGAGTAGTTTTTTAGTTAGCAGTGACAGTTCCTGTGTAGTATTATCATCCACTTCTTTAGCATTTGCACATTTTTCTTTTTAGATTAATGATAATATTTTAGACATAAGTTATTCTAGCTATCTACATGCTCTTTCATGACAGGAAGCAGTGTTATCAAATTACCCCGCCATGGCCGCTATGGCGTATATACATGGTGGTTTTTGGGCTCGCCACAATGGTAAATATTGGCCGCTATGGCGGGTTTCTCCGCCATAGCGCCGCATAGGGAGGTCGGAGTAAATTTCTTTTACAACCTAACAAAGTACCTGTGCTATCTTTTTATGTGTATAACTAAAAGTTTCTCTACGGTGTTTGTCCAAAAATCCCTTATAGAAGAATTTAAAGTTCGGTTTTATATCAGTCAAATGGCCTTTTGATAAAAATAATAGTGATAATGGGTTCTCACCTGATATATTTTTATGTTTTTTGCATACTCTTGTGCATGTAGGAGGAAAAGAAGAAAAGGAAAGCTCAGATGCAAGAGGCTAAGCGGAGGAAAAACATTAAGAAGGTAGAGCGTAAAATGGCTGCTGTTGAAAGGGAAAGAGAGTGGGCAGTAAGATTGGTCGAATTGAAGCGACTTGAGGAAGAGAAGAAAAAGTCTATGGCTTAAATTTGTTTAGGACCTCATCTTCAATTTGTAATACTGGTCAAGTTTTTGGGCCTCTTAATAATATAAACCCGCAACAATACTTGTATCTTCAATTTGTTTATGTTTTCTAAAGATTGAGTGACTGCTTATTTTAAGCAATTCTTTGCTGACACTAGGAAGTGTGAACCTCCTCCTTGCTGGTTTTTGGTTCCTCATTACTCTGCACGGGTGTTAAGACTGTCTATAGTAACATAATATGTGGGTTTACATCCAGTTAAGAAATTGCTCTTAGTAATTGAGTAAATAGGCATTTTAGCCTTGAAATTGCAAAGGTTGGTCGATTTTGTGAAGCAACCATTTAGTCCCTTAAATAAAAAAATATCAATTACTGTATTGCTTTTTTCAAAATTTGTACCACAATTGTAAATGTTTCATGATTATTTTGATGCACCTTAATTAAGTTAACATATATGTTTTTTACTAGTTTTGAATTATCTTTATGGTCGAGTTTAACTCAACCTTCCAAAAGCACAAAAACCTATTTGTAAGATAGGATTGTGATTGAGAATTTCTTTCACTTATAAGCTTTTGCTTTTATGAAAGAGTGAATTAGATCTGTTTTAATTGCATGTATGTATGGTTCGATAGGAAATAGGAGATGATGATTTTTAATACACGAGTTTCACAACTAATTCAAACTTTTATCTTTAAAATTTTAACACCACACAAAATACATAATTGTTACATTCCATTGCCAAACATTTAGTCCCTCAAATTTATGAGATTTTGTTCTTCTCCCCTCTTTCATGTACCCTCAACCAAACAAAATCTCAACAATCTCCCAAATTATATTCCACTGTATAGCTATCATATCATATTCATTGTTTGGATCTAGTTTGTATCCTTTAGTGCCTTTTGCATATGTGATGGGATTGTGACAAAGTCGATTGCTAATATTTATAATATGTAAATCAGAAGAAAGTAAGATGAGTTTTTTTTTTTTTTTATAATTTTGACAAATGTCACAATTATAAACAATTTATTATTTTAATTGTTTCTATTTTAGGATATCTTAGTATAATTGTTTTGATTTTTATTTTGTTTTTTAAATAATTTTATATTTTGTTTATTCTTCTAAAACACGTTGTATTGCTTTCTTTTTGATCGTTAGTTCATTTTTAAATGATTTTTCATTTTTCATTAATACTAACAATATTAAAAAAATCAGTCGTTTCACATTCAATTTGATTTTTCAATACATAATTAAATTATTTGGGATCGTGAGAATAACTAAGTATGTTCACTTTCAAATTGGTTTTCCAATATGTTCTAGACTGGGCATGCCCTTCGCCCAACTCCATGTGAGGCCCAATTCAATTATGTCGTTCAAAGCATGCTGGACAGTTCTGTCCTCGACTGTGTCGGGCAGTAACTACTCTTCACAAGGAGACAACCTCACCGCACGGGGATGAACCCGGTTACTCTTAGGAAGATCACCACCGGTCAGGAGGACCTCGAGGTCACGCTTAAATCCTTTCATCGACGAATAATGATCCTATCACACAATATCATGATCAGTGGGAGTATCCACGACGAGCAGAAGCACCTCACGAGCATCCTCCTCGTATGACTGACTATCAACGCCTCTGAGTATCATGGAGTCTTCGTGATCTCGGAAAGATCGCATTCATATCCTCCTGATCTTGCGGAGGAAGTCATCCAGGTAGGGGGTCACGTGCGGGTCTCCACTACTCACGTAGGACCTGACAGTCTCCATGTTGGGCCTGCTTGACCAACTCAATGAGGAGACATTGGCCCAGCGCTGGGAACTATAAATACCCTCTCCTACGAGAGGGTCTGGTATTGAACACTTCTGACTCACTTGCTTGCTTGCTCATTCCGGAACTTACTTTGGCATCGAAATATCTTGCATGTATCCCCCCACCTCACTTAAATTCTGCTCGGAGCAAGCTGTGACGGTCCATTCTGGTCAGGTACGATCAGTGGCGCCGTCTGTGGAAACTTGTTTTCCCGTCTTCCATTCACACAAGGCAAAAGCTAATCACACTCAATTCTGACTGTCATGGTTGATCAAACAGCAGAAAACAACCTGAATGTCCGTCTCGCCGACACCAACAACAACGTCGTCGACACTAACGTCGATATCAACAACGCTGGTCCTACTGGTCACAATGTTGGATCAACCGTCCACGTGCCCGACCCATTAGAATACAGAGACGGAGCAACCGTCTCATCATCATCGTTGTCCTGGCGACTTGAAGACGACCAGCCTCCTCCTCAGAACTACCAACCGAATCAGTTCCAAGAAGTCCATGTCCCTGCCGGAGCAGATGCCACGACCAGGGCACTATTCGAGGAGATAAACCAAATAAACTACATGATCTTTTCCCAAGGGGAGAGATTAAGGGCGCTCGAAGATTCTCGGAGAGCTCCCAGAAGACATAGGAGGCGTCACTCTTCTCCTCCCCGTCAGATAGAAGAACGTCCCCAATCTCCCCTGCAGAGACACAGGCAGGACGCCTCTCGAAGCCCTTCTCCTCGGTCAATCGGGCGACGCCCCGCGTTGGAGAGGGACCAGCCCGTAGATACGGGGAGACGCGATCACGTACCCTCGTGTCAAGAGCAAAGACCCCCTGAAAATAGGAACATGGGAAATAACGAACGACCACACCTTTCGAGGAACACTCCATGTGACCAGGGTCACCATCATAACCGCCACTACAACAGATCTCCCTCTCGCTCACCAGACAGGAGTGACGAAGACGACCCCCGCGGTCCCTTGTCACAAGCCATAATGGAGGCACCCATCCCCCGGGGCATGGAGAAACCTCTTCATCTGAAGGAGTACGATAACATTGCCGACCCAGTCGACCATATCGACGGGTTCGAGGCAACGCTATATTATCACAACGTCGGGGGACCAATCAAATTTCAGTTGTTCCCCACGACTTTGAGGAAAGCTGCGATGGATTGGTATAAGAGCCTCGCCCCGAGGTCAATCACCTCCTGGAGAAATTTAAAAAAACCAATTCATTAGTTCGTTTAGTACTTCACGTCGACATCCAAAGACTGAAGCAGCCCTCGAGGCTATCATCCAGAGACACGGCGAGACCCTTAGGGAATTTATTGATCGGTTCAACCGCGAGGCCATTCATGTCCCCTACACTGAACATATGAAGAGATACCTGTTCGAGAGGGGCCTCCTCCCTGGCACTGAGTTCAGAAAAGCCGTTGGCATCGAACCACCGCGGACATTCGATGCTCTCCTCGAAAAGGCTAGAGCCTACATGGACTATGAGAAGAGGGAAGCGGCTAACAGAGCCCGGGACCCCAGGAATCGTGTATCAACCAGCAATCCGCGACAACAAGATTTCGGCCCTCCTCGACGAACTAGTGAGAAGAGGAGGGATGACAAGCCTCGAGATCCTCGCGAACAAAGAGGACCCTCTAGGTGGTTTACCGAGTACACTTCGTTGACAGCTTTCCGCGAGCGTATCTTGGCGGAGTGCGCTAACAATGATTTCAAGGACGATGGCGTCAAGCGTCCTCGCTCCGCTCCTGCCAAGCTCGGGGCTGATCGGAGCAAATACTGCCAATATCATCAAAGCCATGTGCAATACGGTGGAAAAACTGACTTGGGTGTTTTGCGTTTTATCGCAATTGTTACGGATAGCAAGAGTCGCCACCGATTTTTTTTTATCCAATAAAGAAAAGAGTGAAAAGAACAGGAAAGACCTTTGAGATTATTTTCTTGAGTTCGGGGGGTAGATTATGAAAAGGGGAGGTGTTAGCACCCTTTTCATCCATAGTTATCTATGGGATCTTAGTTTCTCGTTAGATCATTGTTTTTGTTTGAAAGTGTGTTTTGGGATGGGTTTCGAAAGTTTTTTGAAAAAAATGTCTTCGTTTTAGGCTAACTTTGTAATGATTCTCGTCTCTATAAGAATGTATACAAAGTGTTGGACTTTTGAAAATATTTCATGTTTTGAAAGTGTTTGGTGTGTTTGAAAAGATGTTTGTTTTGAAGATGGATTGTGAGCAAGTAACTAAGAACGTTTTACCTACTCAAAAAGTCTTTTGTTCGTTCCTTCCTTTGATATTGTTATCTTACCATTGATTGGCAAGAGACCTTATCTTTGAATGTAAAGGGACGGGCGTGGGTCATCATATAGTCGTGATAGCAATGTTGTGAGATATCTTAGCATTTCTCTTGAGGGACTAGATCATTTGTAAGACAACATTCGAAGTGTCATCGAGGGTCAATTTTTTTTAAATGTTTTATATTTAATATTTAAATATACTTAATTTGTTTAGAACTCATTTTTTATTTTTTATGCGCGTTTTATTTATAGAGTATTTGAAATAAATTTTTTTATTAGTATCTTAATAATCCTTTATTATTTAATTTTGTTATTTTCTTTGATATTTCTATTTAAAGGCTGGATGTTTTTTTTTTAAAACTTACAAAAATTTTAACAAATTCTAATCCTTTTAAATTAACATCATAAATTAGAAATTAAAAAATTGTATATAGTTAAATAAATTAAATTTTTAAATAATACAAATATATTTATTAACAATAAATACTCTATTATTAAAAAAAAAAAATCTTATGTATACTACTTATAACAAAGATTTTGTATGATAAATTATAATTTTACTATAATTTTATTTATAAATTATAAATAGTTATAAAATATTTGTTTTTTACTTCGGAAAATTTAATACATATCTTATACGAGTATAAATACTAGTTTAAAAATATAATATTTGAATAATGATTACAATAAATATGAATTTAATTTTAAAATGGGTTGATATTTTGTCTCTAATTCTTTTGTTCAATAAGGGATACAACACAAGGCATTGTTAAGTTTTACGGATAATTATATAATTTTATATTGAGTATAAAAAAATCTCAAGGATGTTTAAAATATAAAAGTTAAATATAATAAGTTATCGACATTTGTAAAGGTGTGTGAAAGAATTTAAAAAAGCAAAAATATAGCGGCTGTATAAAAAATTCAAGAATGAAAAATGTCTCTTAAAATGATGGAAAAATAAGAAATATATATTTAATCGTTTAAATGTGCATTTAGGATATAAAAATAGCAAGGTCTTAATTTTGAAATAGTGGATAAGGAAGGAAATGAAAAGAGAATTTCCTAAAAAGTTCGATGAAGTTTCGATGTGGGGTCCAACATATTTGACATTAAAAGGATGGTATGCTCGTCATTCTACTTCCATCATCAACCCATGTAATAGGCTGATTGCAGCAAGAAAAATAGAAAATCCTAATGCACATTTTTCCAATTTGTTATCACTATAATAATAATATTCTCCTTTCTTTTCTTTCCATGAGATGATGATGCTAAAGATAAAGAGTGTGCAAACCATTGTGGCCGGGTTAACGTTTTTGTTGGCCTTATTGACCAACCTACTGCTTAAGCTCCAGAGGCAGCACAACCATAAGGCTCATCCTTCTCACAAACTCCAGATGATGATGATCACATCTGAATTAGATTCTTCTTCGCCCGAGGTTGATGATGACAGATACGGCCTGAGCTGGAGGTTGGCCGTCGAGACTAATAATAATGTGCGTCCCTGGAAGACGGTGCCACCTCGTTGCTATAAACATGTTCAGAATTACATCCTTGGTGGACAATACGAGCTTGACATGAACATCATAGTAGATGAAATTATTTTTTATGCAAAATCTCAGATTCTTGTTCCTAGTAATAAAGATGCTTGGATATTGGACGTCGATGATACATGTATATCTAATATACCTTATTACAAAGATAAGCGATTCGGGTATGTATGTATATATCCTTTGTTTTGCTTCTCTTGATTAACATGTTTAAATTGAATTTGTTCTATATGAATATCTGCAGATGCGAGCCTTTTGATTCAACCATGTTTAAGGCATGGATCAACAAGGGAATGTGTCCAGCAAATCCTGTGGTATTAAGATTGTTTAAAACGTTGATACAGAAAGGTTTCAAGGTGTTCTTACTAACAGGTAGATACGAAGGAACCCTGGGTAAAATCACTATGGACAACTTACATAACCAAGGATTCATCGGATACCAACGCCTGATTTTGAGGTAATTAATTCATAGTATGTGTTGGGTAACTTCGTGGAAGCTACTATACTAGTTCATTTTCAACATGCATACGACTTTTATTTCCTAATTTAATCAACAACACCCAACATTGCACGTCTATAGAGTATTTTTATTAAAATACAATTTGACAGAACCTATATATTGAAACTTGGGCGGTTGGTTGGAAGTATTAAATAGAAAATGACGACAAAAAAACAATCGTCAAAAGCATTGGCATTTGGTGTATATTTTTATAAAACGGCTAGTGGAAACAGGAAAGAAATTTCCTCCAACAGATAGATAACAATGTTGTGTACACATTTTCTAGTGGGATTCTTTTTATATTGGACTAGTTCATTCATGAAAAAACACACTAGACTTGGTCAACTCTCTCGTAAGAGTCTTGAATGAATTTGGCTTGCTTGCTTGCGTATGTAATGTAAATTCAAGCTTCCTCTTAATTTACTTTTTGGATTGAAAAAGTCTTACCTAAGCAGGTCTAATTGGCTTTGGCAGGAGTGATGAATACAAAGGACAGAGTGCAGTAAAATACAAGTCATCTATTAGGAAAGAGATAGAAAAGGAAGGCTATAGAATATGGGGAAATGTTGGAGACCAGTGGACTGATTTACAAGGAGACTCTTTGGGGATTCGTACTTTCAAACTTCCTAATCCTATGTATTGCATTTCTTAAGAGACAAATCATTAATCTTGCTTTATTTCACATGCAAATCTTATTATTATTACTATTACTGCCTCGTGTCATTCATGCTTCTACCTACCAGGATCATCAATGGAAGCAACAATATTTTTAAAAAACCCATATTTTTATTCAAGCTATAGTATGTATGGTAAAACATTCCATCAAAATTAATCATTCTCGCCTTAAATAATGTAGTTCATTGTCACATCTTACAAATCATCTCAACTTGCTGTCTTGCACTCGCGTGGGACGCACAAGAGTTCTTAAACAAGACATAGCACGATGGATCCCGTGCTCAGCACTTAGCAAGTTGATCTTGTCTCGAGATTTCATCGATTAGAGTGAAGAGAATGATATTCTAATATGTTATTTTAATCATAAATGCTGACTATTTATAGATACAAAAGATCCACAATTGTATAACTAATTCATAATCTTAAGGGAGCTTTTATGCCGATTCCTAAGATCAAGGCATGAATGATTCAAACTATAACAACTCATATGCACACTAATAGGAATGGTTGGTTACACCTAAATTATAGGAGCAACTTATAATTATCTGTTATTATGCCCCCTCAAAATTGGGTCACCATCAATGACACAAATTTTGTCTCTGAGAAATGAAAATCGGGTTCGATGCATAAGCTTTGTTAGAATATCTGTCGGCTGGTCTTTCGTAGAAATATGAAAGACTCGTATTTTTCCAAGTTGAATCATCTGTCGCACAAAATGATAATCTAGAGCAATGTGTTTCATTCGAGAGTGAAATCATGGACTGGAGCAAAAGTAGGTTGTGTCAATATTGTCACAAAAGAGAGTAAGTATGTGAGATGGTACTCCAAGTTCACTCAATAGATTGAGCAACCACATAATCTCTACTGTAGTATTGGCAGCAGATCGGTATTCTGCTTCTGTGGATGATCTTGCAACTGTTTTTTGCCTTTTTGATAGCCATGAGACAGGATTTCCACCAAAGTAAATTATGTAAGCTGAAGTAGATGTTTTGTCATCAAAATTACCTCTCTAATCAGCATCAGTGAAAGCTTGTAATTTGAGATGAAGTGGTCTTGCTAGCCTCAGAACATGATTAATAGTATGTTTGAGATACCTTAATACTCTCTTGAGTTGCTGGAGGTGCACTTGAGTTGGTTGATGCATCAATTGTGACAATTTATTAATTGCAAAGAACAAATCTAGCCTTGTCAAAGTGACATATTGCAATGCACCAATGATACTACGAAATTGCTTTGTGTCGGAAGCGGCAGATCTATCATGTAGTTTGAGAGGAGTAGTCATACATAATGGTGTGTTGACGGACTTTGCACCAGCCATAATGAACTTATCCAAGAGTTCTCTAATATAACCATGTTGAGATAATGACATATCCTCCTTGGTTGGAATCATTTCAATTCCAAGAAAATAATGAGGGAAACCAAGTTTTTGAGAGAATCATGTCATGCTCGAGGTGCTTGTCATAAACCATAGATAGCCTTATTGAGTTTGCATACATGTTGAGGAAATTCAGAATGAAGGAATTCGGGTGGTTGTTGCATGTAGACATCTTCGTTCAATTTTTCCTGCAAAAAGGCATTATTAACATCCATTTGGTGTAAAGACCACCCTTGAGCAAGTGCTAAAGTGAGAACCACTTTAATGGTTTGAGGTTTCACAACCGGTGCAAATGTTTCCTTAAAATCAAGACCAGGTGTTTGAGTGAATCCTTTTGCAACCAACCGTGCTTTATAGCGTGCCACACTTCCATCAGGATTTCTTTTGATGCGAAACAACCATTTACAGCCAACTAAATTAGTGTGAGCTTTACATGGAACCAGGTCCAAGTACCATTGTTCATGAGTGCATTAAATTCAACAGAACAAGCATATCTCCAATGTGGTATTTTAAATGCTTGAGTAATGGTAGATGGCTCAATATTTTCCTGTAACTCATGTTTAGTGGCAGTAAATAACTTCTTGGATTTGAATATATTATTTTGGGACCTTGTTACAATAAGATCACGTTGAACTGAATTATTTGTTTGTGAAGGTTGGACTTGATCGTGTGTATTATTGGTGGTAGAACTTGTTAAATTATCACGAGTCATTGGTATCTATGTTGTTACAGATGACTCAATAGGAAGCATTGACTCAGACTGGTGTAGGATTCGAGGCAGGAACTGGTATGAGACTCGATACCGGGAATGATGACTCAGATGTAGGTGTACAACTAGGTATAAATGACAAGGATACTTGTGTTTGATTCGGTACAATGGCTGGTGCAGGACTGGATACTGTTAACAGGAGAACGGGTGGCACAGACATAGATGACTCATGCGCTAGGGACTGGTTTAGTACCGGAGCTGAACTTTGATCTTGGTTAACATGAATAATACTATGTACATCAGATTCTGGTGATGGAATTAGAGGACAAGTAGACGACGAGTTAATTATGGATTGATATGGGAATGAATTTTCCACAAAATTGACATGTCTGGATACATATAGCCTATTTGACAATGGTTTTAGAAAATAGTATGCATGTTGTGACATGGAATAACCTAGGAACATGCAAGGTTTAGACCTGGTTTGAAGCTTATTTTGCATATATGGTTTTAGCCAGGGAAAACACAAGCATCCAAAGGAATGAAGTTTATTATAATTTGGTGTGCTTTTGAACAATACTTCAAATGGTGAGACCATATTAATGTTTGGTTATCCTATTAATAAGGTACACAACAGTGGTGAAAGCAAATGACCATAGTTGAGAGGGTAAATTAGCATGATGTAAAAGAGCACGACCAGTTTCAGCAACATGTCGGCGTCGCCTCTTTGTTGTGACATTTACCTCATGTGTGTGCGGTGGTGTGGTTAAATGAGAAATACCATTATTGGCAAGAAACGATTTTAATTTGATAAATTCGTCTCCATTATCAGTGAAAAGAGAAAAAATCGGGAAATTAAAGTATTTTTCAACAATGGACTTGAATTGAACAAAAAGAGAGAAGACATATGACTTATGTTTCATTGGATACAACCATACATATTTGGAAAAATGATCAACGATGATTAAATAGTATAAATAACCATCTAAATATCTAACAGGAGTTGGGCCCCAAACATCAGAGTACAAAAGTTCCAAAGGTTTGCTGCTTGTGAGATGATGATTTGAAAAAGGAAGCTTGTGGCTTTTTGCACAGTGACAAGAACTACACTGATGTGAGACTGGAAACTTTATTGGTAGATGATGATTGTGCGTCAGATGCTTTATTATTTTGAAAGAAGGATGTCCTAATTTATGATTCTATGTAGATGTAGAGTGGATGCTTGAATGAAATGCTTGTGGTGGACTGGATGGACTAAATGCATGGGATAGATGATAAAGATCTTGTTTACGGGTCCTTGAAGCAGTGGTTGACTCGAGTTCAAGTCCTTGACAATAGAATGATTTAGAAAAAATTCAATAGAACAACCATTAGATTGACATAACTTGGAAATAGACAAAATGTTAGATTGAATTTTAGGCACACATAAGACTTGTTTAAGCTGAAGAGGTTTGACAGAAGTATTAATAATAGAGTTACCAGTGTGAGTAATGTTCAAACTTGTTCCATCACCAACAATCACCCGATCTGCTCCAGGATAGGGATTTGTTAACGTGAGTTGTTGCAGGCCTTAAGCAATATGATGAGATGCTCCAGTGTCCATGATCCAGTTACGATGTTGTGTTGTAGCTTGATTCGGTGCAAGGTTCGTTGTTGGTTTAGCGCCATTTCGTTTCGGAAATCCCTTAATTTTGTAGCAGGCTTTAGCAGTGTGACTAACCTTGTCACAAAACCAACAGACCGCCTTATTTTTGCCATTCCTCATAATTGGAGAAGAGCTACGGTTGTTGTGGTTTTTGTTGTGATAGTTATTGTTTCTTGTGACTGCATTGGCAGTTGCAATCACATTATCAACTGCAAGTGGATCAGCTTGGTGATGAATTATTTCAAAGTCGATCAGTTTCTCATGAAGTTCAGCAAAGGCAACTGGACTTTCTCTGCTTCTAAGTGCCGCAGAAATTTCACGATACTCAACACTCAAACCATTGAGAGTGTGAATATCAAGGTCAGTTTCATCAAGAGGATGACCAATGATTGAGAGTTCATCTGAAATTGCCTTTATTCCTTGAAGATATGTAGCCATCGATTGGTTTCCTTTTTTGAAATTGGAAATCCGTTGTTTGAGTACGATGATACGTACTCTTGAGCGGCCAGCATACATGGTTTTTAGGATCTCCCGTGATTGATTGGAACTTTTGACAGTTCCTAGGTGAGTGACTACTGTTGCAGCCACAGATGATACGATTTCATGTAGAATCAGTTGATCTTGTCGAACCCAATGAGTAAAGGCTGGATTGACAGCCGTGGTATTGGTCTCAAGTTGTTTTGATGGACAGGGCTTAGTTTCATCAATATAGCCTAAGAGATCATAGCCTGTTAAAAGAGCCATGAACTGGATTCTCCAGGAAGGGTAATTGTCTCCATCGAGTTTGATGGAGAGTTGAGAACCAGCATTCAAAATGATCAGTTTGTCTGTCGGTGATGACACATTGGACGTCATTTCAGTGTCAGAAGGTGAAGCCATAGTAAGGATCGTGAGAGAGAGAAAATTGAGAGGAAAAAATTGCTTTACACTCTGAATACCATGAAGATAATGATATTCCAATATGTTATTCTAGTCATAAATGCTGACTATTTATAGATACAAAAGATACATGATTGTATAACTAATTTTTAATCTTAAGGGAGCTCTTATGTCGATTCCTAACATCAAGGCATAAATAATTTAAACTATAACAAGTCATATGCACACTAATAGAAATGGTTGGTTACACCTAAATTATAGAAGCAACTTATAATTATCTGTTATTATAGAGGTCACCTGTTATAATCCTCGCCATAATCCCTGCTAGAGCGGGGCCAAGTTGACTTAGTCCAAGGAAAAAGTTTTAAGGCTTTGCGCGTTTCGCTAGGTCTAAAGGTTATATATACCTATCTTTAGAGTTAGGTCAATTTATCACATTTATAAATCTAAAGACCTTAAATTGGTAGATTGCAAGTACTATTTTACTCTTAATAAGTACAAATGGCATATATGGTGGGATCCAATAAAGTGTTCTTGAGTCACACCCATTGTGGAATTCAATGTTCTAGAAGGTGTCATGTCCATGCTTTACTACACCATAAAGCACCCTCCCTATACACAAGGAAGGGGGTATAGATCATGAAAGCAGATCGGGAGATAGTTAGGAAGTGTAACCAAGATAACCTAAAAATAAATAGGACGGTGATGATTTGAAATTTGCCACCAATATCAATCACCAACAATGTTTTTTGTTGACTTAGACCCGAGGAAAGATGTTATACTCCAACCTCAATTATGTAGATGGATTTCTCACCAGTGTAGTACATAAAAAATCAATCAAACTATCTCTTGAAGAGTTTGCAGAGATTTTCAACCTTTCTTGTGTTGGTTCAAATTACAAAGCCAGTGAAGATGAAGGTAATGATTTTTCTTATGTCTTTGTTGCTATCTCTTTCCTAGAAAATCCAAATTTTGGTATTCCTTCTCCCTTTAATGTGGGCAAAGTGAACCTATATATCCATATCACTCATTATACGGCGACACATATTCTTATTCCAACGAATCACAACTTTGGGAAACTAACCAAACCGATGTTGATGTGGTTTTCTTACTTGTTAGATAGTACTAGATGATGTCATGTCAGACTTTCTTTCCTCATGAAAAAATATGTCGACCAGTTGAATGTAGATATGGATGTTACGGGTGATGATGCACATGTTGCATATCATAAAATATATGTATTGAGGTCGTATTTCATGGTTTTAGTTGGCACAACACTTTTTATGGACAAAAATGTAACATATATTTATATTGTCTATATTAGATACTTCATTGACTTTGAGAGAATTCACGAGTAAAACTAGAAAGAATTTGGTTTGGTGTACCTCTTCTCCATGTTTTCTAAAAGGTAGTCAATGTAAGACAAGACAAATGACATTAAACAACTGTCTATTTACGATAATATTTTCACCCATATTAATATTAATTACATAATACATGTGTTAGATTATTATTAATATTTCATCTGAATCATTTCAAGCATGGATCCACATACATTTTCCATGTCTATTAAGCTAGGCATATGTTGAATACTACTCTGAGAATTTGTCACGTGGTTTCTCCATTTCCCACTCAGGGGAATCAGACGACCGAGTTGTTCTAAATTGCACATGGCAACACCGTGTCTGATGACATTTGTATCATGTTGTATCATTGTTTCATGCTCGACCCTTGGAGATGATATCATGGTACTTTGGATGGTTGACTTGTGAGTCTCGACTTATGTGTCCACATATACCTGATTGAATATTACGGTAGTTCATATATTTGTAGAGTATCCATAGAAACCTCGCAATTGTTGCTCATGCCACTATCCTTTGCACATATGTTAAAGGGACATTTGTGGACTACGATGAGCAACTTGTGCTAGAGGATGTAGTATGTCTACTCCTTGTCCATGGATTACGATATATGGTTATACCTCATGATTTTATAGAGTGTCTCATCCTTACATGACACTAGATGCAAAAATAGATCCCCTAAACTATCTCATCAGAAGATATTATAGGAGGAACATGAAAGGGTGCACCATGTCGTAGTTGTACAGTCGGTATGTCACCATATTGTTATTATTGAGAGATAGGTCACAACTAGAGGCGAGTTTCAGGAAGAAACTCATTAAAGGATCAGTCTACATGCAATCTTAGCAGAGACAAGACATGTGTTGCAGTATATGAGACATAGAAGGAACATGAACGTTAAATATGCCTAGTAGTAATATTTGATATTAACATTTTGAGAATCGGTATGATTTGTTGTATTTTATTAACATTGGTATATGGTTTATCAATATTTTTTTGTTGATAAAATGATTTTATTAATGAATGACTAATGTGTGTGGTCTATTGTGGGTATGATTTAAAAATGACTTATAATATATAGTTTATTAATAATAAAAAATTTCTTTAAAGTTATTGTCAAAGGGTTGCAAATACTTTCTAGAGATAGTTGGGATTTTGAAATTCATACTCACCTCATTTTTAACCATCTTATGTTGAAACACGGATCCAAGCCAATGGAGATTGAAATTCAAATTTTAAAAGAGTATATCCTAAAGTTAAAATCCATACTATTTTTTGGAAAAAAATAGAATGTCTCTCATGAAATAATTTTGTCGCAAAACGGTTGCATTCGATTTCAATATTCAGACACTATGAAGAGCATTTTCAAATTTGCATAAGGTATATGGGGTGTAGTGAGCACCATCCTAATCTCTTTAACTAATCCGACATAGTCGTGACTCCTGATGATCAGCCCACATGCTAATTGCTAACAACCTATTGACTCAAAAATGACATTTTTGTAGTAACTTGTCACCACACCCTTATTTATGCTGCCCTATGTTCTGCTCCCTCTAGTCCTATTTATAAGAAAACAATTATTTTTATGATACATTTAATAATTAATGTATTTAGTCTATATATTGTCCAAATTTATTAATTATCCAACGTATCAAAAAAATGAATTTTTTCTTATAAATAAGACCGGAGGTAATACCAATTAGTAATGCCAGAAAATAAGTAGTATATCTATTTCCAGAAAATGGCAGACACATGGCATAACATTCATTCATAGTTCCAACTGCAAGAAATGCCACACAGATGGCATGACATTCGTTCATAATTTCAACTGCACTGCACAGATGGCATGACATTCATTCATAATTTCAACTGCACTGCATTATACCTTTCGGAAGGAAGTACAAACAACTAAAAAGAATCCATCCAATTCTAAACTTGTAAATCTTTACTTTAATAACCCACTCGAGAGACTCTTGACATGTCACATGCCCACAAAACTTGGTCCATTTAGACCTAAAACTTCATCTCCATCATTTGAATAAATCCAATACATCTCAACAACCCTATTCATTATTATTTTATCGTTTTCTCCAAACCATCCCTCTTGTTTAACAACATAAATGCTAGCCACCAATAATTCTTTACCCTATTCTTTCATAGCTGCATTCTTTCATTCAGATATTCCCTGTCTGCATCTAAAACAACCTTTCATCTACCTGTTTTTGCTCGCTTCATTCCACTCGTTCCACTAGAATTAAATGGAGATACACTGCCGCTTGGCCCAGGACTCTCTTCTCTAAAATTTGAATTCAGCAATGCCAATTCCCGCAACTGCTGCCTCTTTATGAAGTCCTCTGACTCATCCTGCAAGTTCACATCCCACACAAACTTAATATATAACACGTTTTACAACTATCATTAATAAACAATATGCCGTGTTCTTTATTTCAACAATAACATGCTTCTTTCAGGGAAGATATTGTTATACGCACTAGAGAGCTCAAGAAAACTGTTTAGATTGCACTAAATGTTCAAATTATTACCGCAAATTTGATGTGCTAGTTTAAAGGGATTATAACAGAAATTTCACCAACAAGGGAAATTGGAAAACCTTGATGAGAAAAGAAATAGAGTAATAACCTCTAACCACTAATAGTTCACTTAAAATAGGACAAAACATACATGCTGTTAGCACTGTTTTGTGACCCGAATAAAAACAATCACCAAATTTCCCAAAAAGAAAAAAAGAAAAAAAACAATCAATAAACCCCTCTCCCGCATATCTCATCTTACTGAGCGAGAACACGACAGTCAGATCTTACATTACACACTGCCTGGTTTCTGTTACGCAGCAAAAAGGTTACCTATTCTTCTCCTCCCAACCACTTTCACTGCAACCGCGTGTCCTCCAAACCATTAGAATTTAGAAGTTCATCAAGTTCGCCAGCCCAAAGTTTGAGATAGAAATTCTGTGAATAGTCTCTCCAATTTGATCTGTTATGATATTATAGCTTCACTTATTTAAGCAAACCCCCACAGCACAGACGAAAAATAAGAAAAAATGCACACGTGTAGTATTCTAATTTCGAACAGTATCACTGGTACAGATAGAGTTGTATTTAAGTTGTCACTTAAAACATAGGCTGGGAACTTTTGTTCATGACTTCAATGAAATAAATGATATGATTCAAATCTAGAGAATTAAGTAACAAACCTTAAAACCATTAAACTTTTTTTTTTCTTCACATTTGCTTAGGAATATGTGAAAAATAGGCTTAGGCGCTTTGTGCATGTAAAGAGATCAGATTGAGAAGAGTCAAACAGCTAGAGGTAAGGAGAGTAGATCAGATTGAGAAGAGTCAAACAGCTAGAGGTAAGGGGAGTAGATCAGATTGAGAAGAGTCAAACAGCTAGAGGTAGAGGAAGAGCAAGAAAAACTAAAAGAGAAACTATTAAGAAAGCTTTTGAGATTAACGAATTTGATAGAAACATGGTTTTAGATAGAACATTATGACTGAATTTGATCCATGTAGCCAACCCCACTTAGTGGGTTAAGGCTCGGTTGTCGGTTGGTTGGTTGCTTAGGAATTTAAAAGCTTCTAGATATGTCTACACATTCCTCTATCAGTATCTTAACACCAGTCTTAAAACAAAGTGAAGTAGATTAGGAGCCACCTCAAACAGTCTAAAGCATAGAGAAGATGAATACTCGGAGTGAAGAAACTTACCACAGGTTTTAGCAATTCTTCTATAATTTCCTGAGCCTGCCTAAGCCTCATGTCAACAATATTAGCAGGTAAATCAGCCTCAATCAATATGTGGAGCGGCTCATTGAGATGCTCATATCCTGGTCTTCCTTTCAATTTTTCTTCCTAAAGATTGATAGAACAACAATCTCAGTTGTTAAACAAAAAATATACATAACCAGATCAATAAAAAAAAAACATCATATAATAAAGCTGGGAAGTAATATCATTACCTTGTCTGGATCCTTTATTGATCCCTGTCCTCTAATAAACACCCTGCAACCTGTAGTAGCTTCTACTCGTTTCAGAGAATTTCCTCTAGGTCCCAAAAGTCTTCCAACAAAATTGAACTGATGCAATAAATAGCAAGATATTTTACAGTATTTCTAGTTAATCGAAGCTTAAGTTTTAAGAAAGATAAGAGACAGTGGTTTGATCAAGTAAATAATTTTCCATTATTGTACTAGAATTGACATATGAGCTTACATTGGGGTATGTATCAACTGGAATTTCCAAACGCAAAATCCTTTTTATATTGTATGAGTTAGGACTTGCAGGCGCGGCTTGCCAGTCCATGGTCATTCCAGGAGCTCCACATAATCTCTGTTTTGCAAAATAAAGTAATGTTATCTTGGATGTATAAAAGGTGAGGTAGTGTAGAAAAGAACAAGAATTGTGAAACTAGGTACCCTTTAACCAAGCACCATTAAAGTTAAGAAGTTTGATACAGATGAATCAGAATTTCCCCGTCCTATTTTGTTGAGGAGTCATTAAGTTGTTGAAATTTTTAGTTTCTCAAATTTCAAAGTATTAGAATATTTTGAAGTGTAATCTGTTGTATGTTTTGTTAACAAAAAGACATCCTCTAAACATTGTCTAGTTATAGCATAGATAGGAAAATTTGAATGAGAAGCTATAAAGTTGAGATGTAAAGAGAGATAATTGAGTAGAAGTGACCTCCTGCTGAAAAGTATTCCATCCAGGCATCCCTGTGGCAGTGAGGTTTGAAGAAGCCATAGGACTAGGGCTTCTGTGGCGCAGTCTGTCTAAGTCACCAAAACCTTGATTGGACAAGATTCCAGAAACTCTGAGAATTTCTGCAAGCAGAAAAGTAGATGATAGATTATTGAGCAATGAAGTTGAGATATAGAGTGGTACATTATGGATCTGGAAGGACAAACCTTGATTCAAGAGACGACTGGAGTTGGGAAGAACTTTGATAAAGGGTCCAAGCTTCTGATACTCCGCGAGCAACTCGGCAAGATACTGACTGAAACAAATCAAACAAACAAAGAGTAAATCAAAGACATAATAGATGGAGTAGTAGAAGAAGAAGAAGAAGAAGATAGATACGTACCTGTCCATTTCTGAAGGTGTGGGTCTAATCTGAGGAGAAGCGGCTCTCACCGGAGAGAAGTTGTTGTTGTTGTTGTTGGGATTATACAGCCCGGACATGATGACTCTCTGCCTCCCTGCCTAGGCCTAGGTTTAATTCTTCATTATATGCTTCCTTCTTACCCTATCTATCAATCAGTAATTTCTTTTTTCATTTTTACATTATCGAATCTAAATTATCCTTTCTTTTTTCTTTATATAATAACACTAAGGGACAGCGACTAAACTGTAAACAACAACATTTGACCCAAACACAACAAAACTTACCACTTACTGTCAACTAGCTCGACACACGTGTCGCCCATGCACACCATCTCAACTTTTAATCACTTCTCACTACGTTAATTCAAACTTTTTTATACTTTTAAATGCTTTTTTTCTCTCAGATTCTTAATTTTGGTGTACCATTACAACACAACTTAACATTAACTTTATAACCTACCACTATACTAAGGATAACACACCCTACACATTTTATTGCTACTTTATTTATACTTTCCAATGCACCAAGTTGGAAATCTTAATTTTTATGTTCGACTGGTGTATCTTGAAGTGATTATATTTTTTATGTTGGAGTATGATTTTCGGTGAATACAATAAAATTTATATATTATTTTCAATCAAGTTGAAAATTATTGGGATTGTTTGAAAATATACATGTTGATATTCTTTATGGTGAACTATGATTGTCTCTGAAGTCAATAAAAATTTATGTATTATTTTTAATCAAGGTGAAGATTGTTCGGGTTTGTTGAAAATATACATGTTATAAAGTCTCACATTACTTAGTTTTGTGAATGAAGAGTAAATTCAAGACTATATATAAGATAAAAGTTCTTTGAAGTCTCACAACACTTAGTTTTCTGAAGGAATATGGAGTCCAAGGTTATAATATAGGATTCAAGTTCTTAGTTACAAGATGCACTAGTCAAAAGCACTTTAAGTTTGTATTTGACTTTTTTTTGTTCTCTTATACTCTTGTATGAAAGTGTTATGAAATGTAATTAAATATTTGTTTTGGAAGGTGTGGTGTGGGTGTATTGGAAATCTGGGTTAGCTGAAAATATATTATGTGTTGTAACAATTTTCACATAGTATTATTCTCTGAATGTGATTTGACAATTGTGGTGATTTTTTCTCTCTATTCTTTATTTATTTTTTCCAACAAAAGAAATTTTTATTATTAATCAACTTCATGGAAGGGCCAATAGCACCTTTCAGTACGAATTTTCTACCTTGAGTTGTAAACTTCAATTTTAATTTATCGAAATTCCACAAAATAATGCTCGGAGATTTAAATTATTGTATGTCAATATAAGATCGAAACAATTAAAAGCAAGACTATAGCATTAGTCGTGAAGACATATTGTTGCATAAGAAAATTAAATTCCTTGCAGATAAAAGGGACTTCAAGATTATGACTTCTCCGCTTGTTAAAATCCTCTAACTTACGCTAAAAACTCTTAAAAAAAGCTCTAAACCTAAGAATTTATGCAAAATAAATTAATATCTAACAAATTAATATCTTATTTGAATAGAAAGAACTTTGGTTGAAAATAAAATCATTTGCTAAAATAGAATTTGAAAATATTTTATAAAACAAATTAATAAATAGGTAGTAGAAAACTAAAGGAAAGAAAACTACTGAAAATAAAAGAGATAAGGGAAAGAAAAGAACACCAAAGAATTATACAAATTCATCCTAAGAATGACCTACTCATATCCCCAAGAATTATTCTTGAGAGTATTCACTAAACTTAAAAGCTTTTAGAAAAATGTGTCCATATAGCTCCTTGTGCAGAGAAATGGAGTTTTTAGGCTAATTTTTTATCAAACAATGAACAAGACTTGAAACGGTTTGACTCCAAATGAAATAGAGATTTTTCAAGGCTATTCTCGAACAAAATCGGGAGTTTTAAGTTGATAATTCTCCTAATCAAACCTACCTACTAAGATTTTATATCGAGCTGAACTGAGAAACCAAGAGAAATTTTAACCAGGTTGAACTCAAGAATCGGGCAAGATTTTAACTCTCATTAAATTCATTCTTAGTAAATTATAAATTTATCCACACCAAAACAAAGATTCTCACTTAAACTCAAGAATACTCTTGAACCACTATAGCTAAATATATGTGAGAAAAATGAGAGATTTAAAGAAATGATGAGAGAAATGAGAAAGTGGAAACACTACTCATTTTGTGGATGTGTAAAAGTGATAAAGAAGTTCTCTATTTATAGGTGAAGGCGTGATATAATTTGGAAACAATGCATGAGTCAATTCAATGTCATAAACGATTAGGCTAATCGATTAAACATTCTAAATAATCGATTACTAAGACCACAAATGGAATGTCTTGATATTTAGTTGTTACCAATCATTAAGAAATTATCTCAATTGATTTTAAACTCAACCAATATGATTTAATCGATTATATCATTAATCTAATCGATTATTTAGGTAGAAAAATTATCCAATCAATCAGACACTCCCTTAATAAATTAGGTAGGCTGTAAAAATATTTTCGTGTGGTTTAAATAAAATATGACATGATTTTCTATTGTTTTTAGTGTGTGTGTAATTTAGTTATAATATTTCCATAAATACTCTTGTGTCTTTATAAGACACTGTTCACTCATATAGACACGATCATATGAGCTTCCACGCTTCCCCTCTTTCACAATCATGAAGCTTCAAGTCTTGGTATCATTATCTTTGACTTTAGCATCATACAAGAGTCTTTATTCTTCTTAGTGAGACTTGAGATATCTTAATGTAGAATATTATCACCTGAGAGTTGAGAAGTTAAATCATGGTTGATCCTTGAAATTGAAGTTTTTACTTAATAGCTTTAGTCTATATGATTGTACCTAACTAGAATGGACCGTCACAGCTTGCTCCGAGCAGAATTTGAGAGTGAGGTAGGGGGTACCTATAGGACACTCTGATGTCAAAGTAAGTTTTGGAATGAGCAAGAAAGTATGAGAAAGAAATATTCAATACCTGACCCTCTCAAAAGAGAGGGTATTTATAGCCTCCAGCGTTGGGCTAAGGTCTCCTTATTGGACTGGTCAAGCAGGCCCAAATTGGATACTGTTAGGTTCTACATGAGTAGTAGGGACCCGCACATGGTCCCCCACCTGGATGACTTCCTCCGCAAGATCAGGAGAATATGGATGCGCTCTTTTCAGGGCCACGAAGGCTCCGTGATATTCAGAGACGTTGATAGTTATCCCTATGAGGAGGATGCTCGTGAGGTGCTTATACTCATCGTGGAATGCTCCTCGCCAGATGTGAGGTCGTGTGAAGAGATAAGGCTTGGTCGATGAGGATTGGAAGGTGTCCTCGGGATCATCCTGACCGGTGTGCGAGCTCCCTGAGGCTAACTGGGTTTTTCTCTCGTGCAATGAGGTTGCTTCCTTACGGGGAGTGGAAGTTTCTGCCCAACGTGAATTGGGCCTCCCATGGAGTTGGGTCAAAGGCAGACCCAGTCCAGAACATGAGCCCCCCAAGTTGTTGCTTCTGGTGAAGGAGTTATGACTTAAATCTAGCATCTTCTTTTTATGATGTGTGTTACTCGACGAGAATCTCTCATTGCATGGACGGAGAGAGTCGTCGATATACGAATTTACCCGAGCAGCTTTCGAAATGAACTTGAAATGGCATCGTTCTCGACATGGAGAGAAGAAAAGCGATAGGGTATGTGCACGTGGCGTGAACTTTAAGGTTGTAATGATGGCCTAGGGAGTAGGGTCCATCATTAGTTGAGTGTGTATGTGCCAAGGATAAAGGCGGTTGTTGGGATGCCCAACACGACGTTTCGTATTCCACGTTAGCTTTATAAATAGCGCCTCAAGGCCCATTACTCACATTCATATTTTCGCGCTATTCATTCTCTCTACTGCCAACATCGTGCCATTCTCTGTAACCACTGACACCGTCGCATAATCCGCCGCGTGTTCCTCATCTACCACTGTCGTTCTTCATTTATTCTCTTCCAAATAAGTTTTTCTTTTTACCTTCTTTGTTTAGATTAACTTTGATGTCGTTTTAGTAGTAGGGTTTAGCCGCTAGGGGTTTTTTTCCTGGGGGATTCATGGATTTAGGCGTATTATTCGTGACTGAGCCCGTGATATTTACCTTGTCACCGACATTTAGACGAATTTGCCTTGTAATCTTTATATATCCCGGTGAAATTTTCCCAGGTAAATGGCCGACACTTCCGAATCGTCAGAGCATATTGAGACTGAAGAGACCAGTGTAGCCGAGGAGGGCGTCAACTTGGTCGACACAATCGACGATCCTGTTTTGGCTTGGGTTGGCGCAGAGCCTCGAGGAATAACCTCGATATATAGTCACACTAGGAGGCAAGCCTATATTGTCGTCGAGTATGGCAGCGACCAAGAAGGCTTCCAATGGAACTTCAAAATCCCGCGGTCGATTCCTAATGCTCGCATATGCTCGGAGTTCAACCACGACGCCTTCCCAATGTACGAGGTCGTATTCAAAGACCTGGGACTTCGACTTCCTTTCAAGGATTTCCAAATGGTGGTGCTCAATCACTTGAACTTAGCACCCTCTCAGCTTCATCCCAACGCAATTGCCTTCATTCTCATGTTCTTCAGGGTTTTTCACCTACAACGGCAGTCACGGGGAGGGAAGCACAGTTGGGTCTCCCTCAAATAGTCGAAGAGGCTGTTTAGGATGTACATGGACTATGTCCGTGATTTTAAAGACAGGTGGTATGTCTTGCAGCCTTATACTCAAACAGTTGTAGGCGCCATGTTCGACCCGGCTTCCATTATGGACGAGGATGAAGAATCGTGCGACGAATCCTAGGGTAATCCGGAGATCGGATGAAGCATTGCATTATCATCTTGAAGTGCCCAAGAATCCATTCCAATCCTCAAGCAGTCAAGATCGACCCAGAACATCACATTCATCCTCACTATTTTGATAGTTTTTTTTTAAATTTAAACCTTTGATTTATGCATTGTTAACTAATTTGATACATTCACTATGCCAGAAATAACCTACGAAAGCGCTTTTTTTGGGCTTTA